CGCTGTTTTTAAAAGGATACATACATCGAAAAGTATTAGCAATATCCCAAGTTTTAGTACATTCGGCTGTTAAAAAGGGTTAAATATATCCGTGGCTTGTCATATAACTTTCTCGTGAATAATCCAAAGACAACACTTACGTCTATTCCGTGATCTCTATATTCCAATCGATTAAATAACAAATGCCTATACACTTGTGGCTTATGTAAAAGCATGTCAATGAAGATTATAACAAAATCATGTTCCACATATTTGTCTGCGAATTTTTTGCATCTTTCCTATTACATTCAAATGGAAGTAATATTAATAATATTTCTTAACTCGCTTCTTTCGTAAAGTATGTTTGGAAATGATTATATAGAATTTCAGGAATTAGATCTCTCTCCGTTCGCGAGAAGAAATTTCAAAATTCGCTTACGCAATGGGTTAATCGAATATTTCCTTTACTATACTCTGTGTATAAGTTGGTCACTGGCGTTCCGCATTCCACACATATTGGCATCTTTTTTAATTCGAGAATCCGACTTCGTGACGAAACAATATTAGCATAAATTGCATTTTGTATTTTTATTGGAGGTAAATCGCGTCAAAATACTGGGTCATGTACTGATGGAGGATCCGGATATTCTAGCTGAATAAACCTTTTTTTTTTTTAATTACTATTTTAAAATAATAAATTTTATTATTAATTAATTCAAATAATATATTTTTTATGAAAAATAAACATAAAATTATGCAAATTTTATTAAAACTAATAATTTTTGAATTTTTTTCATATTAAAAAAATTTGATTTTTTTTTTCTTACTATCCAACAAAATTCAACTAGGCATTTTTTATCTTGTTTCTCTGTAAACATAAAAATATAACCTTTTCATCTATAGCACATCGAAATAACCTTATTATTTATTAATTCACAATGTATAACACATTTTAACCTTACGACTTCAAAACTTAGAACTCGATTAAATAGTTAAGACCATGATCATTCATAAGGTTTTACCAATAATTCCATTCTTTTGTAATTCCCTAATTTCATCTTCTCCTAGCCCTAAAAAATTCATCAAAATTTCTCGATTGTGTTGTCCTAAATCTGGGCCAGCCCATGTGGTTCCACCGGGTGTTGCGCTAAGTTTTGGCGTTATGGCGGAAAGCTATGTTGAATTATGTGAAATTGGTATTAATGAATTTCCATGGCATGCAATTAGTATGTACGCTATATACCTTAAGGTCCCAACCGCCGTTCTCCATGTTTTCACCTACTCTCACGGTTTCAAATAAATCACGCTTTCTGAAGTGTTCATCTTCTACAATGTCTTTTATGTTATATACAGGTGCACATGGGATTTCTTCCTTTTCTAATTTTTCAAGCACCTCCTTAGATGTGTGTTTTTTCGTCCAATCCAATATTGCGTTAATCAGCTCCTTATCTTGAATACTCTCCTTGTTTGCCTTACATTCCGGTGTAGTGAGATCTTCTCTTCCAATTATCTTCATTAGCTTTTCATGTGGGAATCCGCCATCTCCATCTATGACAATGTACTTGGAATCCGAGCAAAGGTATGCGATATCAGTTGCAGAATTGCCGGCAGGTTGCCTTATCTATAAATATTTTGTATTGATGTCAGCAATTCGTTGTCTACATGTGTGAGGAGATTTTTAAAAAATATCAAACCTACCTCCCCAAACCGATCATATTCCGGCAGCACACCTTCCATCATATTAAGCACACTCTCATAAATGGCTACATCGATCTCCTGTCCTGATCTTGCGTTGGGAGGGAATTTCTTCCTTACCAAAAGACACATCACGATACCAAGGGCCGCAGTTAACCCAGCTAAGGAATCGCCTAAAGATAAATTCTGGCGCACAAGTGGCTGATCTCTAAATCTGTTAATATGCCGCCATCCTGCCACCGCCTTTAAAATACGAATTTATTAGAAAGAAGAGTTTAAATCCCTTGCTCAATTATTTTATCACCTAATTTCAATCTACCTCACACACTGACGCGAACCCTGGCCTTTTTGCATATGGACCCGTTTGTCCGAAGCCGGAAATACGTGTATATACTATTGAGGGATTGGTTTTATATAGCTCTTCTATAAAAATGTAAATGCCAACATTAAACCAATGTGCATCCACTTTAATAAAAATTCAAAGTTATCTAATTGATTAATCTTTTACCGGGGCCAAGTCCCCATTTCTCCATAACCCCGGGACGAAAATTTTCAATCAAAACATCACTCCTATCTGCTAATTGACGGACGAGCCTAGAAGATTGTCATTGTTACAATAAATGAAGTGCACAATCGGCCCCATATTTCTTTACTACAAATATTTTGACATACTTTCTTCCTTCCTCGGTTCGCAGGTTTATTTCGCACGATTTCTTATTTCTACCGATCGCCCGAAACCAAGGACTAACCCCATCGATATCGATTCCACGCAAGGTACGAACGGTGTCGCCTGTACCTGGTGACTCCACCTTTATCTGAAAAGTAGTACACGTCATAATTTTTGACTCAGGAAAAGCACAAATGTTTCACCATATTTGGAACTTACCACTTCCGCGCCATAATATCTTATTTAATGACGTGTATTAATATAATTGATTAATGAGTTCTAACGTTGCTTGCAAGACAGAATTGCTCTAAATTACCCAAGGATTGTTCCGCAAAACGGACCGGCGACTATCTTTGTATTATCAGAAGAGAATAAATTTATGTCACTCAAGAATAAATAAAATCTGTAGAGTTTCATTTATACCTGCCCTAGTTCCAAAACGCGAATTCCTTCTAATGGTTTTGGTGCGCTTGTCACCTGAGAATAACGTTTATTTGATACTATAGAAAACCGGCACCATATTTATAAAATGAATAGTGACTATTTAGCTCTAATATTTCGACATTATCAAATATTACTTAATAATCTAATTCCATTTTCAGATAAAGTTCTCTTGAGGCCAAATATTACTTTGGAACTATCAATAATGGGCAACATTAGATTTCATAATCAACAGTAGAAAGCTTTAATTCCACCTGTCACGTGGAATTTGTAACACAGTCACTTGCAAAAAAATGAAATTTTTTGTTATACACACACCATAATCATAAAATCTCGAAAATGGAGGATACGCCTGTCAATGCGGTACTTTTTAACGATATCTTGCTGTTTGTTTCAAAACTTCTGAGCTAACCATATTATGGTATCGAAAGGCCCACGCTTTTGCAAACGCGGCTGAGGAGTTCGAGGAAAAGGAACTTTGGGCTAAAGCCATGGAAGCCCACTTCCGTGCTGCTGGTATTTGTCCTCACACAGTAATCTATGTATAACTCTAAGGAAATGTGTTATCGTTGAAACGATCACCATCCTCAATCATACACTCAAACTTGTGATTCGATCTATTGTTGAAAATATTTAGAACAGTTTCTTTCGGCGATGAACTATACCTCAGATCCGGAGGTATGAGACTTATGATTTCCACCTTTAACTCTCTCACCCAGTTACAACTTAAAAAACATTTTGAATTGTCGTTAGGCAATAAGAACCTTAAAATTGCTTTATGCTAATCACACTCGACAAGGAAAGGAATTGCAACGTCGTTTAAGTCAGCGAGT